TTTGTGTCCTCCCTAACACAAACTCCTAAATATACCATTTGAGATCCATTTTTTAAGACACATGTTCCCCCTCTTGAATGACCAAAAATGGGTCTACTCGGGGATACAGCAGACCGTAGAATCCCAACTCAATGAGAAAACATCACATCAATTTTTTATTGGGTTTATGATTGATGAAATGTGAAAAAAATGTGATGTTTTCTTACTGAATTGGATACCACGTCTGCTATATCCTGGGATACGGCAGACTTCCTCCTAATCGTGGGCTGTTATAGTGTGTGCTATTTCTGCGAATGTTCAGCTGTCAACATCACACATTAAATAAAAATGAAAAAGAGTGTCTACATTTTTTTTTTTTTACCTAACTAATTTGTTGCAATTAAGAGGATTAGTGGGAGGGGGAAAATAAGAAAGGGTTGGTTGGGCTGGAATATAATATTATTGGGTGAATTCCACATAATTAGTGGCTATGTTGCTATACCTATAATGTCAATTTTGAGTATATCTACATTTAGTTGTAGTAAATGTGTTGTTCAAAATTTTCTCTTTGGGAGTTTATAAAATATTTTAAAGGAAAATAAATACTCCTTAGGGGTAGTTTTTTTAAAAAATTTTAGATTACACAACAAAAATTAATTTTTTTTTATCATTTAATACATTTCATCTATTTGTTATACAATTTGAATTTATTTTTTTTATTTTTACTAAAAAGATATTTCTACTAAATTACATAATTTGTTAAAAAAAACAACTTGCTCATTTTTTTTTTTTTAACAACGTCAAACTACCTATTACTACCATTATAATTTTTTTTAATAGGGGTGAGGGGTACGAATGGCAATTTCCTCCGAGAATCATGAAATTTCATGAAAATCCCAATTATGAATAGAGATTTTAAGAATATTCTTTATTATAAGACGATGATGAAAGTATTCTTTTCATCGTAAAATTTTGTAGGGAATTTTTTTTGTTTCATGGAGACTCGCGATAATTCATATATAAAAAATATATATATAAATTTATTTTTATATATTTTTATAAATATATTATTAATTAATTTTTACTCATTCAACTTAATTAGCTAACCTAACCTAACATAAATTGCTTAGCCTAATTTCTTTTTCAGTTCTAGTTTTCTCAAACCCAATTCAACAATCCAATCCAACCTAGACATTTATAGCTGTTCATGCATTTTTATTTTTTATGAACTTGCTGTTAGACCTATTAGACGTGTATGGTACTGTGTATTTGTTGCAATTGGTTACTAGATATTGCTTTACTGCATTATATGTTAATGTATGCACTTGTTTGACTTGTTTTAAATTTTTACTTTTTTATTTATCAAGAAAAAAAATAAAGCTAAATTCTATATATTTAATACTTGACAGAGACTTTAAATACCCATGGGAACTTATCATTCCCTGCAGGTATAAGGATGAAAGTCATTTTTAGTCTTCTGCCAAAAATTCCCATGCGAATCTCTATACCCATCATTTATAGTGATGAGGATGAGGAGGAGGAGGAAATCATCACCCTCATGGAGACCCATTGCCATCCCTAATAAAGAAAAAAGGAGTTTAGAGTTGAACACTGTACACTTCCATAATCTTTTTACTTACGGATTAAAGTGGTACCACTTTGCCTATCACGTAAGGAATGGTTGCTTGCATTTAAATGGAGGATTGTAAGTTACCATCTATTTTGTTTGAGGCATTAATAGCTCCACATTGTAAGACTTTAAATTTCTAATTTTAACACAAATCAAAGTTTTCAAATACGTAAATAAATAGTAGAACTAAGTCAGATGCAGCTTTTTCGGAAGTGCGGCTTGCATCCAATTACCCGGCTAATAAAAAGACACAACCACTTCAAAGTAAAAGCACTGGGATGATCCAGCGACAGCCACACAGACCCCACCCCACGCTTTAGCTGTAAGATTGGCCTGCTATGCAATGTAATTCTTCCATTAGTATGTTTTATTTAGCTGAAAAGTTGCCCTTTTTGTTGGGCAGAGACCTACTCTCCATCCCCACGGGGGACCCTCCCTATCCCCAGCCCTATCACCACCCCCACCCCCATCATTGGTGGATATTGGGTTCCTTATAGGAATTTTTTATGGAGGGCAAAAAATGCTCTCTATCCCTATACCTTGGGGAATGAAAAGTCTCGGCGGAGGTTTTTCATATATGTAAAAATATAAAAAAATAATTTTTTTGTTTGATCATATACAAAAAAAAAATTAATTCATTCAATTTTTAGCTTAAAAAAAAAGTTCAAAAGCAATTTTAAAAAATAGTTATTTCTGAGTTCTTTTTTTAAATAGATCAAATCAAATAAAATTAACTTTATCAAAAAATAAATTAATATAGTAAACTAAATTCAAATTAAGAGAAACCCATTAAACAAAAAGATGCGGTTAAGAGAAACTAAGGCAGTAGAGAGAAGAGATGAGAGAGTTGAGATGAGAGAGTTAAAGTGTTTGTAACTAAAATTTGTGAATTTGAGAATTGAGATATTTGAATTTATTATAATTTATAAAAAAAATAAAATTTATAATTTTTTATTAATTTATAATCCCGTGGGAATCAACCGGATGAGAAAATTTTTTTGTGAAATTTTATGAGAGAAAAATTGACTTTATTCCTACGCAAAGGGAAGAATATTTTGAAAATCTCTGTTCTTGCAGGGATTTTCACGAAATTTCACAAGTTTTTGAGAAAATTGTCATCTCTAAATGTAATGCATTTAGATAATAAAATTAAATAAAAAGTATTAGCAAATTAAATTGAATATGAATGAGTGTATATGTGTAGTTGCCTTCTGTTAACTTTCACAACAAGAAATCAACTCTACTTTTAACAATTGGATGGTCAAATTCAAGGAGTTAACAGATTTTCAGTTAGCAAAAAGACATGCATGGTTACCTCAGTGCAGACTCAATTAAGTAATAAACCATGCAAGCTAATTGGTTATGGACTTAAATTTTTCTATTTCAATTCTCGCACGTTGACAATATGTCACTTTTCAGATTCTCTCATCCACAATTTCGCATACAATAGCATCAACTCCAAACAACAAACGCTATACTCATAATCTCTGTTACTCCCATTTTGAGACAAAGTAAAGTACATCTCCCAAGGCATAACAATGGTTAAAACTCCATGTACTAGTTCCATGGAAGGAAGGAAGAAAGGAGCTTGGACGGCGGAGGAAGACCAAATTCTCAAAGACCATGTTCGAAACCACGGCGAAGGGAAATGGAACACCATTTCTAGGAAAACAGGCAAGTACTCACTCACATCCCTTTTCCCCAAATCAATCTGTTCATGATTGATTGAGGAGAGGATAAAAAATGTACATTTATTATGCAGATCTCAAGAGAAGTGGGAAAAGTTGTAGGCTTCGTTGGCTAAATTATCTTAGGCCCGATATTAAAAGAGGGAACTTTTCTGAAGATGAAGAGGATCTCATTATCAGGCTCCACAAGCTCTTGGGCAACAGGTGATTATATGTCACTACTCTTTTCTTTCAATTTAAAACTATCATCATATTGTTCTCTTGCGCTCAAACTAAGAATCATATACAACTAATTCAAACATTATTTTATAAAAAAATCGAGAGATGGTGTGCATTTTGAAATTTTTTGTAGGTGGTGCTTGATAGCTGGAAGACTCCCCGGGCGGACAGACAATGAAATCAAGAATTACTGGAATACAACGTTAAGAAAGAAATTAGCAGAAGAAGAAAACTACTCCAAGCAGTCCAAGGAAAACATTATCCTAATTAACTCCACTGAAACTATTCCATCCTGTTCTAAAGAAACAAAACCTGCAACAACAACGAATAATGATTTACAGATTGATGCTTCATGGGATTCCGTGGAGAATGTCAATTACAAGCAGCAAATTGGATCGACGTCGGTGTTTCTTCAGGGTATCGACTTCACCGATTATGAGGAAGATAAATTCTTAACTGTCGCATCTTCTTCAGACCAAACTCCTTTGTTTTCTGATAAATTGCTGGGAAGTTGGTTAGCTGATCAAGATAATCTTAGCTTTGAATTAGTCCAAGATTCTTAATGTCGAATTTCAGTTTTCATACTCAGAAAAGGTATCTTCTTCTTCTTCTTTCTTTTTTTTTTTTTTTTTTGTCTGTTCTTCTACTTTTTCGATTTTCTTTTGTGATCATGTCCTCCTTTGCTATTGTGTATGATTCAGAATTGAATTGAAGTTCAATTCATAGCACAGCATACTAACAGAGGAAGACTTCTGACCAAACTATTGGCAAAATAAGCGTCACCTCGTATATATGGTTAGGATTTGAATTTTTATTTTTTTCTCACTCAATTTCAACTATTTGTTCTATCCCATTAAAAAAAATTATATACTAACATTAATACATATAGACCAATTAATATAGCACTAATTTATACTTACAAACTAATTAATCATTGAAAGGAATTACAAAATAAAAAAAAGAGGTTAAAAACAGGAATACTTTATTACCATGTCATGGCTTAGTTGTTCATATCTTAATATTTTAAAATTGATTGATTATATGTATAATAACTCGCACAAGAGAGAAAATTTTACTTGAACATGGCAATCCTAGAAAATATTAAGCGGTCTTAATGCTATAAATTGGTGTGACTAACCTTTGTTTTTTTTCTTTATGTATATATATATATATATCTCTAACTATAGACTATACAAAAAGGTTTTTAGGATAACTTTCTCTCTCCTATTCTCAAATCTTTTCCCACCTGACTCAAGATTTAAATTTAAAATTTTTAACTTAAAATTTTAAGTTTTTAACTTTTTAACTATTGAACTACCTGAAAGGTGACTAATCTTTGTTATTATGCTAACTAGCGGAACTTAATCTCTTAATGCTTGGAATTTGGATTGACGTTTGTCATAGGGGAATTTTTTGGGCCAATGTTGATGGGGCTTGAATTGGAACATTTTGTTTTCTGACCCCATTTGTTTGGAGTTCGATGTACCAGCGAGTGAAAGCCCAAGCCCAATTTCTGATTTCTGATCTGACCCCAATGCTAAAGCCCAAAAGAGAAACTAAAATAAAAATAGTGAGGAATATCCCTAGGTGAAAATTAGAGCAGTGTCTTTAAGTTTAAGGTTTAAATCTTTTAGTTAGCACTTAAAATATTAAAAATATTAATTTTTTAATTATTATATTAATGTAAAAGATACATCTTTAAAATTACAAAATAGAGATTAGTTTTAAAATACGACATAAATGTTTAAGGAGTAACATAATGGTTAAAAAAAAAAAAACATCTAAAATCCAGAAATTTCCACCAACGTGAAGACAAGTTAGTGATCATATTAAAATTTACGAAACTGGCTAGTGGTATGCTTGGACTCACCACTCTTTTAGAGAGATGTGCGTGTTCTGATATCCATGTCAATAATGTCATGAATTTTAGCCAGTCCCAGTTGTTTAATTACCTAGTAAGTTCAGAAAGAATCAAGTGGTTATTAGAGAAAATAAAAAAGTTAAATTGCTTTCTGAGGTCTGTTTTAAACTAATCACCACAAAGATCTAGAAAGGATTGCAATACGTGAACGGTAAAATTGCATCACTCTTGTCTAGAATTAGAGACGCTTAATAGTTTGTTTAACTAGTTAAAAATTTGAAATTTTAATTAATTTAAAAATATTATATTTAAATTTTAAATTGCGTAATGTAAGAAATGACTCAAAAAAAGAGTGTTTTTTTTTTATTGTATAATTTTTTTTTTGAACTGATTTTACAAAGAGCTGAGTTCGAACTCTAGCCCTGAAAGAAGGGAGAATGCACCATAGGTAGTTATTGTCACTTGACCGAAGGGCTCGATGCGTATAATTTGTTATTAAGCATGTAAAAAAATATATCTAAAAATATAGATGACAATTTGTTTCGATGCGATGGAGGGTATTCCCATCATCATAAGGACAGGGACCATTTTTTTCCACAAAATTTTGTGAAAATTTTCCCAAGGAGATCACCGTCACGGCTAAAAGATTTTTTTTTTTTTTTTAAAGTACTCAACCCATAATCATTAATCAAAATTCACTTCTAATTCCACTTCTTTTGAATTAAATCCTAATTCGTTAAACATTTTAATTTTAAATTATTAAAAATAATTAAATTAAGTTGAGAGTTGAAATTTTAATTTTTTTTCCTTAGATTAATAATTTTTTTGAATTAATATTATTTGGTGGAGAATAATGATCACGCAGGGAACCATTCTGTACTGTACTGTTCACAACGTCAAAGAATTTGATGCGCATTTTCCTATCCTGTACTGTGCCCAATGTCAAAAAATTTAGTTATGATTAGAGAAACGATAAAAAGTTAAATTTCTTTGTGCGGCTGTTTTCACTTTATCATCACCCAATTTTACAATGGTTTTGCAAAAGTGAATGGTAATAAGGTAATGGTGGTAGAACCGTAGGATTTAACAATCTTAATCAAATTAAAGACTAACTATTCATGACGAATACTTATTCTTGTTACATTACACTATGATCAGTAGAGGTAAACAAAAATAATTAGTATCAAATTAAATTGAATATTTGTATGCATATTAATGGGTATAATTTTTAGTTTAATATATTATATAATATAATTATTAAAAAATTATTATTTTTTATATAAAATTAAAAATATGTAAATTTAAAAATATGATCATATATATAAGTTGATTAAATTAATTATATTTATATTATATTTTAATAATTAAATAAAATATATATAAAAAAATGTGGGGTTTATCTATCGTTTTCTTATTTGTTTATATGCCTAGTAGCTTACGGTTCACAACCAGAATTCAACGCGACTTTTAACAATAGGATGCTTCTTTCGATATTGGTCAAACGAAATTCAAAGGCCTAACAGACGGTTAGTTAGCAGAAGCACAAGAGAAGGAATAATGACATGCATGAGTGCAAATTCAGTTTACGCACGTTGCCTTGGACAAGATGCCACTTTTCGATTTTCTTATTCACAATTTCGCATACAAATAGCATCAACTCTAAACAACAAACATTATCCTCATAATCTTTGTTACTTCCCATTTTGAGACAAAGTGAAGTCCATCTCCCAAGGCATAAATGGTTAGAACTCCATGTACCAGTGCCATAGACGGAATGAAGAGAGGAGCTTGGACGGCAGAGGAAGACCAAATTCTCAAAGACCATGTTCGAAACTATGGCGAAGGGAAATGGAACACCATTTCTAGGAAAACAGGCAAGTACTCATCACCTTTGTATCTTTTTTTTTTTTTTTTACTTTGTGAAAGTCTCTTGGGCCAAAAAAATCTGTTGGGCCTAAATTCGGTTGGTTTGGAGGCCCTAATTGGTTTTTGGTTA